CAGGCGTGGGCAGGATCCCTTCCCCCTCTGCTTGGCCGAGATCCCCCTGGAATTTCTCGGAAGAACGTTTATTGAGAAAGGAAGCAAAACGCACAAAGACGCAGAGAGGGAGGGAGCCAACGAGCTCGCGCAAGTCCGCGTTCACAGATTCGCAGCCCCGGGGCCCTGCCCCCGCTGAGCCCCATCCGGTTTCCGATCGTTTAGGGCTGTGCTCCCTTGAACATCCTTGAACAGCCCGGCCCGCTGTCCAGGGGACTGCCGTCTCCAGCCGCACCCACACCCGCAGGGCAAGTCCCAAATCCCCGGCCGGACATCTAGGCCCTCTGCCGCCAGCTTGGACCGGTGTCTCTTTGAGAGCTTTGCCTCTCACCGTCCGGCCCCGCAAAGGTTTTAACGCGTTCTGCTTGCACCTCGTTCTCTGTGCCGAGAATCCGTCTCTGCTGGGTGCTGAATCTGCCTCAGCTACCGTGCGAGCAAGTATTTGTTCAGCAAATATTTATGGAGTGCCCACTACTGGCCTAGCGCAGCCCTCCGCCCCCGGACAAGAAAAGAGGGTCTCTGCTCCCCTGAGTCTTCCGTTAGACGAATGTTTACCACTAATATGTCCTTGCGCGATGTGCCATTCACAGCATCCATCCAGCACGTTCTGTCTAAACCCTCGATGTGTGGGAATAATATCTCATAACAGACTCACAGCATCAGGTACTACGATCCTTTCCATCTTACAGATGAGGGAACCACAGCAGCGAGAGGGCGAGCTCTCTGCCCAAGGTCACATAGTGACACAGGTGTGTGACCGTGATAGGGTGGCACAGCCACTGCTGGAACCCAGGCGCTTGGCTCCAGAGCCCGTACACCTCGGCGCTCTCCTGCTGCTCTGGAGGCGTGAAAGCGAAGGAGGAGATGGACAAGCGACCCCGCCCGGGGACCGGGGTTCCCACGGGTCACGCGGAACTCGAACGTGCGCGCCAAGTCAAAATTCAGCAAACCCAAAGAAAGTAAGCCTTCTGTGAGACGCAGCAGAAACAGTGACGGGCGACCGATTTAAATCCTCACAAACTTTCTAAATCGAAGGTATCAGAAATAGAATAGAAAATCCATGTTTTACAGGTTTACGATATATTAAAGAAAGGAATGCTATCCAAACTGACTGACCGTGCCGAGCCGAAAAAAAATGAAACCTCTAGGAATGAAAAACTCTTCACTGAAATTAAAAGGTCAGCAGAAGCCTTGAAAGAATTATGCTAAGAGAAAGTAAAAGTCGTTACGAAGCTTATATCGTATGGTTTCCTTGATATAAAATGTCCAGAATAGAAAAATCCAAGAGACAGAAGACATATTAGTGGTTGCCTGGGGAACCGGATGAGAGAAGGAAGGACTTGGTAGTTTCTGCTCATGGTCATGAGGTTTCTTTTCAAGTGGTGAAAATGTTCTAAAAACAGATAGTGATTACGGTTGCACGCGTCTGCGAGTATGCACAACATCGCCGAGCTGTTAGAAGGGGGAATTTTATAGTATGTGAATTATATTTATAATAACGGCTCTAAAACGGCATCAGCAAATGCGTTAGCAAATTAGACACTGCCGAAGAGAAAATTCGTGAGCCGGACTGTAAATCTAAAGACGCTGTCGAGAACGTGGCACGAGGGATAAGAAGATGGAAAATAGGAAAGAGAAGGTAGGACACACAAAAGATGGTGTGCCAAGGGCTAACGGAGGCCCAAAAAAAAAAGAGAATCAGTATTGGAAGAGACTCTCCCTGAGAATATTTCAGAACTGGTGAAAGATACTTACAGAGAACCACGATGCATACTAAATAGAATAAACAAAAAGAAAATCCACGACCAAGAACAACGGAGTGGAACTGCACACCGTCAAAGACGAAAGATCTTTGTCAAGACAGTCGAGAAGGAAGGAGGACCGACTTTACAGGAATAGCAGCTACAGCGACGTCAGAATTTCGTCGGCAGCAGTGAGAGCAGAAAGACACTGAAATGGTATCTTTAAGGGGCTTGGAGGGAAATCACTGGGATTAACACTTACATGAGTGGACACTGAGTGAAGCAGATTGCCCTCCACGGTGTTGGTGGGCCTCACCCAATCAGTGGAAGGCCTGACTAGAACAGAAGACTGACCTCCCCTGAACAAGAGGGAATTCTGCTAGCAGGTGGTCTTTGAACTTGAACGGAAACATTGGCTCTTCCTAACTCACCTGCTGGCCCGCCCTGCAGATTTTAGACTCGGCAGCCTCCATAATCTCATAAGCCAATTCCTTGAAATAAGTACCTCCCCTTCCTCTCTCTCTCTCCCCTTCTGTTTGTCTGTCTCTGTCTCTGTCTGTGTCTCTCTCTCTACACACACACACACACACACACACACACACACACACACACACACACACACACACACACACACACACACACACACACACACACACACACCCACACACACACACACAAACACACACACACACACACGCCACAGGGATCTTCCCACTTCCGCAGACGTCACTGACCACTGACTTCAGAGCCATTCCCAAGCACGCTTTCCTTCAGCTGGCCAAGATGCTCTAAGGCCATAAATGGTGTTGTTTTAAGCTCCTACGTTCTGGGGTAATTTGCTATGCAGCAAAAGATAACGTGAGCAGTGGAGCCTGGCTTGGGCATGATGGGGGCGGATGCCCAACGTCCAAGGAGTTGGGGCAGGTCCCCGGGGAATGCAACTCCGGGCCCGCTCCCCAGAGAGCGGAGACCTGCACCCTCCCACGCTGGGTTTGGTTGCCAAGGAAACAGAGATTCCTGTCTCCGTTTCCAAGCTACTCTGCCTTCCTCCCCATGCACGTGGGACAGTTTCACCCTATCAGGATTTTTGCAAACGAGAATAACAGTCTGTCATGATCAGCGAAAGAAAGGGCTTTCTTTAACGGCATAGGAGCAGAACATGTCACCGTGTGGCTCTGCCCCTTCGGCCTGCATGGCCCCCACAGGGAGCTAGTGACAGCCGGCCTTGACCTCTCTTTTCTCAGCCTGACCTGGCCCAGAGCCCACTGAGGGGTCGCTGGGATCTCAGCCGGCTCCATGACACTCTGACAGATACCCACGACCTGGAGCAAATGCGTGGCTGCTCCCCCAGCCTCACACTGTTCTCAGGGACCAGGACGATCGGCAAGCTGACCCACAGCAGGGCCCTCTTCCAGGTGGTCAGAACCAAGGACTGTGTCAGAGGTTGCTGCTCTCCAGCCTTTGGGGGCCACGTATCCTGTGCCCAGAAGCAGAAGGGACAGGCCTCTGGGTCAGACCCTGGGGGGGAGAAGGGCAAGGTCGGGGTCACGCGGAGATGTGCAGCAGAGCTTCCTACCGCGTGTGCTGGCTGACGCCATCAAGACCCCTCCACATCATCGAGACTGACGCGGCTGCCGGCCGTGTTCTAAACGAGGGCTGTTCCCCAAAACAGCGCCTGGCCTCACCCAGAGGGCCAGCCAAGGGTCAGCAGAGACACTGCATCATCCACATAGCAAGTACTTCCTCCCTAAACTCTGAGGTGGAGAACGTCCCCGCCCCCGGGGTTCCCAGAATGTGGGGGGGACAGGATTGTGCTTGGCTCATCTTTAAGAGAGTCACGAGCTGGAGCAGGGGAGATGGTGGTCTCCCAAAGGCCGTCCAAAGCCTAACCCTCAGAACCCGTGAGCATGACCTTGTTTGGAAAAACGTCTTTGCGGACAGGGTTAAGTCTAGAGAAGAGGTCGTCCTGGATTTAGGGTGGCCCTGCATCCGATGTCCGGCATCCTTACAAGAGAAAGGAGGGGGAGCTCTGTGCACAGACCCCCAGGGAGAGGCCAAGGCGAGCCTGGAGCCACTAGACACTGGAAGGGCAGGAATGACCCTCCCGAGAGCTTTTGTGTTGTTTTAAGTCATCGAGTTTGTGGTTTGTTGCAGCAGGAGGAGCAGGCAGAAGAGAAGGAAAAAGACACAGTTCCAGACAGGCGGGGAGCGGGAATGGGCAGGAGGTTCCCCCAGGGATGCTGGCGCCGTGTGCGCACTGGAGAAGGGTGCGTGAGGCTGGGGAGCGGGACACGCCCAGGGAAGGACGGTCCAGAGAAGACAAGTGAGGAGGAACAGAGTTGGTGTCTGCTGGGAGCAGGGGGACCTTCTCCATAGCAAGGGGCGGACCAGGCAGGGTGGGGCAGGGACAGGCAGGTGGGAGTCAGCACCGGCTGAGGGACGTCTCCCGGCAGGTGGCTGCTATGGTCCAAGCTGACCTCTGAGGACAGAACGAGGGAGGAGAGGGCGTGAAGAGGCCGTCGGCCTGCAGTGGGAACGAACCGCTACAGGCTGCCGGGCGACCATGACCCTCAGAGGTTTGAGGCCAGTTTGCTGTGGCTGTGATTTTCCACTGTGCGCATCAATGGAGTGCAGAGGAGAGGTGGGGTGGGGCTGGGGTGTGCCGCTCACGGGAGAAGGGGGCCGACGGCATTGACTCGAGGGCTGATGAGGGAAGGAGGCTGGGCGGGGAGCGGGGGGCGGTGGAGGTCGCGAGGCGGGCGTCCCATGGGGTCCGAGACGGCAGGTGGAGGTGGACGGCAGGGACCTCCGCTCCCTGTCTCCTCTGGGGCTATGTCGCCACCTCCTACCTCACGGGGCTCCCCTGGTCCCACCTCCCGGTCTCACCCCGAGAGTGGAAGTTTGGAGGCAGAGATGCGGGTGGCCAAGAAAGGCCATGTTCTCATGACCACGGGAGGGGCTGGGGAGGCGAAGCAGAAGAAAAGGACATTGGAGGTGAGGGGGTCAAGGACCCGAGAGCCCACACTGGCAGGGGAGCAGGGTGGAGAAGACCTTGAACCCGCTGGACCCACGTCCTTAGCTGAGGGGAATGACCAGGATGGCAGGGGAAATGGTGACCAGGAGCAGAGACGGTGGCAGAGGCAGATGGATGAGCATCAGAGACATGGGCGTTTGGGGTTTTTTGGGGGGTGGGTAGGAATTATCTAGAAGATGGCATCTCAGAGCAAGGACAGGCACTTACAGGCAGAAAACACATAACTTAAAGATTTTAATCAACTTCATCAGCAATTGTGTTACATGTAAAAGGGTGACAAGCTCCGCTGGAAAGACAAGGAAAGACGAGTTTATGCCGGTGACGAGAGACACATGTGCAGCTTCAGTACAGAGAGAGGACATGAAGACACTCAACGCCAGCGGGAAAGCTGCTGCGGCTGCATTCACAGCAAGGAGCCCTGGGAGCAGAAACAATTACTTGAGCTAAAGAGGGTCACTTCACCACAGTAAGTTCGAGCCCTTAAGTGCAAATATTAGACGAGGTGGCTGGAAATTCATCAGCTGTGCGTCCATCTCGAGAAGTCAGAGAGAGCGACGTAAACCGACAGAGAGAAGGGAGATGAAAGGAATCGCAGGAATCAGGGAAACAGAAAACAAAGTTTCGGCGGAGGCGTCATGAGAGCCCGAGGCTGGCTCTTCCCGCCGCGCGGCCGGCGGGCCCCTGGCTGGAGGAGCTGGAGGTCCAGGGAGCTCGGACTTGGAGTGAGGTCGACGGCTGCTTCGTGCCGGCGTCGGGGCACGGCGTTAGGGGCTTCATCCCAAACCGAGCTCCTTAGGGGGCTGCCACCTGGCTCCCAGGGGCCAGGAACTCAGGGGGGCACTTCCTTGGAAGCCCCCATGGGAGACGTGGCGTCAGGTGCCCATTGGATCTGTAGCTGGGGGGCTGGCGAGGCACCAGTGGTGAACTCATGCCTGAGCCCCCCTCCCCAGAGCCAGGGCCCCCCAGGGGGGGCGGGTCACCAGGAGGAGGGGGACGCATGTTAGGGACAGCCTCAGGGTTGGTATTTGCCCAAAGGAAGTGGACACTTGTGTCCACGCTAAAGGCTGCCCGCGGAGACTCAGCGTGGGAAGATACGCACGTGTGCCCGGTGCCTGGACAGCGCGTAAAAACGGTTAAAAGGGAAAACGTTTATTATGTACACTTTACCACAATTTTTTTTAAATTGGAAAAAAAAAAAACTAGGAGACAGAAGAGAGAGCAGCCCACGCCTGTCGCGCCATCTGCTGTGGGTCAAGGGTGAGCGGAGGAAGGCGGGCTCCCAGCAGCCAGAGGGGCAGAAGGGGCGGAAGTGGGGACGGGGCCTTACTCTGCACAGCCCAGGGCCCGGGAAGGGTAGGGCATGAAACGGGCGGCTGTGAGAAGGCCACCTCTGAGCAGGTGACATCGGAGCGGGTGAGGGGACGGGCTGCAAGTCCGTGACTGAACGGCATTCTAGGCAGCGGACGAGCACATGCGGAGGGCTTGGGGGAGGAGGAGGCATGGGCGGGGGACCTTCATTGTGTTTTTATTTAAAATACTCTTAAAGAGACCGTGACTCAGGGTTGAAGCTGCCTGGTCAGTGGTCTGCAGCTGGAGGGTCCCTGACACCGAGCTCCTCTGGCTGTAGGTCCTGGGCTCGAGTCTCGCGGGGTCCAGAAGTGGGGCGGGGAGCTGTCAGGTGCTACCCCAGCCCAGGGCCAGGCTCGTCAGGCCAGCTCTGCAGGTGCTAAGGCCAGCAAGCTAGGACAGGCAGAGCGGCACAGATGGACAGGACACCCCCAGGCCGACCATCGTGACTTCCCTTCCCCTGGGTCCCTGAAGTCCGGGAGGGAAACTGTCCCATTGTTCGAGGCTGGAGCGAGGAGGCGGGGCCAGGGCCCAGGGCCTGCAGGGAGCCCCCCCCCACCTCCCCCAACGCTCTTGGCTCCACTTCCCCGGCGAGATGAAGGTGCTCGCAGCTCTCCTGCTCGCCCTGCTGTTATGCAGGCAGCCAGGTACCTAGGGCTCGGGGACAGCCCTGCAGCAATGGGGGACCACATAATTTGGGGCCCCAGGGACCCCTCATTCTGGGGACAGGACGTGGCTTAGGGAGAAAAAGGGACTGAGGCTGGATCCAGAGGCCAGAGGGAGGTGGGTAGGGGCTGCCCTGGGCTCCCACGGGTCCCCCAACCTCCAAGCCCCAGCCCCAGGGGCTCCCCTCTTCCCCCAGCCCCAGCCTCTCTGCAAGGTTCGGGGTTCCCTCTCCTCTCCCAGCCTCAGTTTCCTTTCCAGCAGAATGGGTAGGCCGTCCCGAGGGAGAGGGTGGGCAGCTGCTGTGAGGGGCCGGGCGCAGCAGCTGGTGTCCTCGGTAAGGACACTGCCCATCGCCCTCGGGTGAGTAAGCAGGGCCAGGGAACGTGGAGATTGGGGCAGGGACGTCGCGGGTGGAGGGGCAGAGCGGGGAGGACGGAGGGGCGGGGGGAAGGACAGCCCTGGGCGGAGGCTTGGCCCTGGGCCCCGAGCGTGTGTCCCCTGTACCGGGCAGCAGGGCTCACGGGCATCCCTGTGTGGCCAGGGAGAGGGCGGGCACAGGACGAGGAGGACGATGGCGAGGGCGTGGGGATGGACAGCTACGATGACGACGAGGACGAGGACCGGGAAGCCGGCGTGACGGCGGGCGGAGGTATCCGTGCGCCCGCCCCAGCCTCCTGCGCCACCCCGCACTCAGCACTTCTGTGGGCTCCGCTGAGGGCCAGGCTCGTGTGTGCCCTCCAGCGGCGGGGAGGGAGAGCCTGACACAGCGCGCCCCTTCCTCACCCTGACCCTGACCCTGACCCTCGACTGCCGTCCAGAGCAGGGAGCCTAGAGAAGGAGCCATTACCGGGAGGCCAGTGGCCGGGTGGCGAGGTCTAACAGTTCAGCAAGCCCCAGCTGGAGATGAAAGGCCCTGGGCGTGGAGTTTGACCAGGACTGGAGCAGTCTGTCCTGGTGGGGGGCACGGGGCAGGGGAGGGGAAGGTGAGCTGGCCCCGGTGGTGGGGTCGAGGGCTCGGATCGGCTCCAGCGGGGAGACAGGAGGGTGCTGGGGGGATGGCGGGTTGGAGTGGGGGGTACAAGGGCTTAGAACAGAGCACAGAGTGAGAGCTGAGACCCACGCCCACTCCTCACCCTGACAAGCGCTCCCCGTGGATCCCCGCAGATCCCCGCAGACAGGCAGGCTCCCTCCCGCCCATCCCCGAGGACCAAGCCTGAGGGCGTCACCAGCATCCCACCCGCATGGCTGGCCCCTATGCCCCGGCCGGGGGCTGCCCCAGCAGGCCCCGCCCCGTGTACCCAGGCCTTGGCTAGTCCTGAGGGGGTGCGGGGAGGCCCCAGCAGGGCCGCTTTCTTGGAGGTCATCTGACGTGGCAAACAGGAAGCGGGAGGAGGCCTAGGAGGCGAAGGGCCAGACCGCAGGTGCGCTGGGGGTCTCGGGGCTGCGGACCCCCGGCCTGAGCCCGCCTCGCCCCCCAGAGCCGCCACGATGCTTCGCCTGCCAGTCCCTGCACAGCGGAGAGGGCTGCAGCCAGATTCAGAGCTGCCCCCTCGGCCAGACCGTCTGCAAAACGCTCATATCCCAAGGGGACACCGGTGAGCTGCCGCCCCAGGGCCTGGAGGACACAGCCCTCCCTCCCTCATCCCTGTCCCCGCCTCTCCAGCGTGACATGCCCTCTCTCCACTGCGCCCCCACCAGGGTCTGGTCCTCTGACCACCTACTCAGGGTGGTGTGCGGACACGTGCCAGCCCTTCGCCAAGAAAGTAGAGACGACCCTGATGACCGTGACTTGCTGCCAGACTACCTTGTGCAACGTTCCACCGTGGCAGGGCCCACAGGGCCCTCAGGGCAGTGGGGCAGGAAGCCCCCGGGGCGTCGCAACGCTGGCCACCGCCCTGCTGCTCAGCCTCCTCCCTGGCCTCCTGGGGGCGGGGTCCTGAGCGGGGCGGCGCCCTCGCCTCCCCGCTGGGCTTGCACTCTGGAGGGCCAGCACCCTGTCCAATGGCCCCTCCTGTCCCCGCCCCCAGCTTTGGAGAGTAAACTTGGAGCGTTTTGAATGGTCCAGCCGGCACTGGCTCCTCCCAGCTCATCTGCATTCCCTGGGGGTCCCGTCTGGTGTCTCTGTGCTCCTCTGCCACTGCCCGGACCATGGGATGGCCAGCACATGGCCTCCGGGCGAGGAGGCCTCAGCCTCTCACAGGACAGGTCCGCACTGCTCCGGGCAGAGAAGACACCATGTGCCCCAGTGCCGGGGAGCCCCCCCCCGACTCCCCCCAGCTTCCCCCTCTACCCACTCCGCCGCCCTCCAGGGTGCCTCTGGGAGGCTTTGAGAGAGGGCTGCAGAGGCTGTGGGTGGGGACGGGCTGGAGTTACAGCAAGGGGGAGGCAGGCAGGTCAGCTGAGGTGAGGTTTCCAGCCCCTCCGCCCAGGTATAGGTGGAGGGGAGTGGCAGGGGGCAGTGTGATGGGAGTGGGGGGAGAAACAGGGTTGTGGGCTCCTGAGAACAGGAGCAGGACAGTTGGGGGGGGGCTGGGGGGGAGCCCAGTCCCTTTGGGTCCCCCAGTATCTGCTCTGGCTGGGCTGCGCTGTTAGCAGCTGGGCACTTGGCCTCCTTGACTACACCAAATCCTGCTTTTGCCAATAGTTGGGGCCATGACAGAGCCCTGGGAGGAGAGGGAGGAGGGCTGACCTGGGCCTCAGTTTCCCCATCGGAGAGTTAGGGAACAAAGCTTAGAGGACCCCTAAATCCCCACTAGCTCAACTTCCCGGTGTCAGGAAGCCCGAAGCCCTCTCCTGCCTGTCCCTCCCGAGCAAAGCGCCCGCTCTCCATTTTCCCCTTCCTGCTTTCTGCTGGCTGGAATGATGGCTGGAGCTCAGCATCCACATTGTACCATGAGGATGGCAGGGCAGCATGGAGGAAGGTGCCTGGATCGCCAATGACCTGGAGCCACTATACCAGCCCCGCCCTGCCTTCCCCATTACCTGGGAGGGAAATAAACTTCCGCGTGCCGAAGCCGGTTATGTGAGGTGTCTCTGTAACTTGCACTCACGCATGCACTCGTGCACGTGCGCACACTATGGACACGTGCTCACAGGCAGCCCCTGTCAAGGCACAGCAGATGAGAGCACAGCTTAGGGGTCACGCTGCCTGTGTTCACATGTTCAGCCCGCGCCCTCTAGCTCATGCCCTGAGTGAACCCCACACTCTCTAGCTCGTGCTCCTGGCGAACCCATTCACCTCCTCAGCTGGTTTCCTCATCTGCTAAGTGGGAGGGTAGGCAAGCCCCCCAGTAGGGCTGCAGTATGGCTGCAGGGAGAATGAACGAGGCCGCATGTAAAGGGCCTAGAGCCCACGCCTGGCCGAGAGTAAGCGTTTGACACGTGCGAGCCATTGTCAGTACCACCCATCACGTTGATGGGGAACCCCACCCACATTCACAGATTCTTCCTTCCCATCCCCCCGCCTTTAAGCCCTGCAGAGACGCGAGTTCACCGACCCCACCACACTCCCCCGGAGCTGACCCCCTCAAGGCCTTTGCACCAGGTGGGAGAGGGGCCTCGGGCTCAGTCCGAAGCCACACACAGCGGCTGCCCTGGCCTCGAGCTCCTAGTTGTGCAACAGCCTCTTTTCCAGGGTCCTGGGGCCAGGACGGCAGCTGGGCCCACCCCCCTCCACCTGGGGAAGCAGAAAGTGCAGCCCCCATTCCTCACTGGCCCCTAAAAGGCTCCTGCCGAAAAGGCACAGAGGAGGCGGGGCTCAGGCCCTGGTGACCTTCCAGAGCACACCCATCACCCTGGGCATGTGCAAGTGCTTGGCCCTCAAGAGCCTGATGCTGGAAACTTCCGGAGCCTGGTGGCCTTGAGTAAGGACTCTGCCCTGCAGCTCAGATGCCGTCAAGGCTTCCCGCACTTTCTCAGTGTGACCTTGGGATCCCCAAGATGAAAAAGGGGCCCGAAAGCCCCCAGGGCTGAGATGCCAGCCAGGCCTGAAGTCTGAATTGGCCACTTCCTGGCTGTGTGATCTTGGCAAGCTACTTAGCCTCTCTGTGCTGAGGTCCCTGCTGTGACCCCTGGAGCTGGCCCTGGGTGGGGACTCGGCTCCTGTGCTCTCCCCTGTAACGGCCTCCTTTCTGTCCCTCTTCCCGGCATCGGGTTGGCCCTCTAGCCCTGCTCCCTTTAGCGATCCCTACCCCCACCCACTCAACCCTAACGGGGAGAAAACAAACAAGCCCATTGGGCTGAGGGGCCCCTTCCCAAGCTGCCTCACTAGCACCCTGAAACTAGTCCCTGGGGCCACCTCGGGTCCCCCGCCCAGCCCGGCACTGGGAGTGAGCTCAGGGAGGACACAGCGTTTCCTTCTTTTCTAGGCCCACACGACCTGATGACCTGATGGCTGATGCCAGTGGCCTCGGAGGTCCCCCTCAGCACAGACCCTCCCTGGGCACCCCTCCCCTGCAGCCTGGTGCCCTCCTCTCCTCCCGCCCACCCCGATCTGTTTCATCCTGTGTGCCTCACCCACCTCGAGTCACCTGCCATCCTCCGCTCACCTCGCCCCATCCAGGCTTGGCTCCTTGGAACTTCTTTCTGCCAAAACAGGAAGCAGGTGTCCGAAGCTGCATTTCCTGTCCTTGTTCTTGACCATGAGAATGGGGTGAAGATGAGGAAGTGACCCCAAAGCAAGACATCCCTGAGAAGAGAGATTCCAAGCGGCGTCCCCCACCCCCCGCCGGGGTTGGCAGGGGCCCCTGGACTGGGGAAAGGTCAGCGCACCCAGATGCTGCCATGAACCAGCTGAGCACAGGGGAGACCTCAGGCCTGCACCTTTCACAGGGCTCCTGACTGCAGGGAGGGTCCCGCCTGGTCCAGCCCTTGCCCAGGCGGCGGCGCTGTCCAGCACGCAGACTTCCGGCGTCAGAGCAGGCACCCTAGGGAGAAGTGTCTCTGCTCCAGGGTCAGGGCCCTGAGCACCCCGTGGGTTGTGTTCAGAGCACAAAGAGGGGTCTGCCGGTGTCTCCACGCCCTGGAGAATGGGGGGCGGGGGGGCTATGCATAGTAACGTGAGAAAAGCCTCCGCTCGTGTTCCCCTTTACTCGGCGTCATCTTTCCTCCCAGAGAGAAACCTGAGAGCAGGGGTGAGTGAGGGGGCGCAGGGGTGAGTGAGGGGGCGCAGGGGTGAGTGATGGAATGCAGGGGTGAGTGAGGAGGCGCAGGGGTAGTGAGGGGACGCAGGGGTGAGTGAGGGGCTGCAGGAAGGAGAGAGGGGAACACAGGGGCGGGTGAGGGAGGGAT